CTGATCGATGCTCTCTCATCGATGTTTCTAACTCTCTGTCTCTCTCCCTTCCTCTCTGTAAAAAATCAATAAAATATACTTTAAAAAAAAAAAAAAAAATAAAGGGCCAGAAGGTTGAGAACCACTGAAAGTCTTGCCTGAAAGGTTAGTCTGAAGAGGAAATCTCCATTCACCAGCCAGAAAAAGAAAAAGGCTAATGTTTCAGTTATGGTTTAGCTACAACATGCAATGACTTGTGCCCCAGAACTCCCCCTGCCATGTATGGGGAACCTCACCATGAAGATCTCAACCCTGATAAACCACAACCTGAGGAGGAATTATGGTTCCAGTTCTGGCTTCTCCACTGTATTATGTGACTGTCTTCCCCTAACCTCTCCCTCCTCCGTTAACCCTTCTTCTGGCCAATGGACCTATCACTCACCCAACTCATTTTGTCCCCAAAATCTGTAAGTCTCCCAAGATTCCTTCTCTCTCCCACTTCACATCCAATTGGTTACTGAGTTTTGTGGATCCTATTTCATAAATCGGTAGTCTGTTCATTCATTGAATATTTATTGTGTGCTAGGAGTATGCAATGAGGAACTGAAGGGGTTCCCCAGACCCGCCCTGCCCCCTTCAAGGAGCTGAGCATCTGAGAGAGGGCATTTTGCAAAGGAAAACCTGCTGCTGAGCAGTAAGTCAATGCAAGAAATGGATAGAGAGAGAGCTGGGAGGGGACGCTGGGGGGGGGGGCCGTATATGACTCATCTAGGGAAGCTTTTGGACTTTCCTCGTGGCCATGTGCAACCTGAGAGGTGAAGGATGTGTACTGGAAAGCCAGTCGTGGGGAGGCAAGTGCCCATTTCTGGAGGCAAGAACAGAGCTCCTCCCTAACCGGTTTGGCTCAGCGGATAGAGCGTCGGCCTGCAGACTGAAGGGTCCCAGGTTCGATTCCGGTCAAGGGCATGTACCTGGGTTGCGGGCACATCCCCAGTAGGAGATGTGCAGGAGGCAGCTGATCGATGTTTCTCTCTCATCGATGTTTCTAACTCTCTATCTCTCTCCCTTCCTCTCTGTAAAAAA